ATAAAACAGAAATTCGAAAGGCGCGTTGAGATGGGAAGTTGGTGTCCGAGTGGATCGAAGCCACGATAGCTCAAGTGGTAGAGCAGCGGCGTATTGAGCCGGAGGTCGTGGGTTCGAATCCCACCCGTGACACTGAATTTTTGCATTTCAACCAAAACCTCACATAAAGATTAATTAATTGAAAAAAGTTATTTTGGTTTCGGACCACTAAATATAATGGATAAAACAGTCAAAGTTACAAAACGACCCAGGATTTTAAGACAAACACAAAACATAAATAAAAACTTGGCTATTGGTAATCGTATATCATAACATTGTTGATTCTTTGGAAGTCAGGCTTTAATCCTTTGCCGATTTGAAATATGCTGTAAGATCATTTAAAAATAAAAACTAAACAAATATGTAATGTAATTATAACTAAATGAATAATTGCAACATTGTGTTAGCTAGTTTTTCATAGTAAATAATATCATATCTACAGTAAATAATTAAAAAGATTTCTGTCAAGTTGGTTACAAAACTGCCCAGGGTTTCTATGCAAACGCAAAAATAAATATACATTTTTTATACAGCATTAGTACCAAGAAAGCGCTTATAAAATGTGCCCAATTTTATATTCATTTATTCCCTCAACAAAGAACTATATTTATTTGCAAAGTTTAAAAACTTCATAACTATAATATTATATCAGAATTTTTTTAATAGATACAGGCTAATTAAATCGTTAAAAAATAAAATAAAAAAAAATCCGTTGTATTTATTAAGTTTATAATGAAATTTGTTAAAGAAATTGTAGTGTTTCTACGTAAAAATAAATATCAATACATTTCTAATCGTACATCATAAGATAAGCGTTGATTGTTTACTTAAACTTATCTCCCTTAACATCGTGTTAGCAAGATTTTTTTTAAATAAATATTTTTACTTGCAAAAAAGAAGTCCAGAAATGTATTGAACGTCTGAAATGCTTCATGTCTTTTGTGTTTTGTTCCTAATGACCCTGACAGGATTTCCGTGGATAATGTTTTTACAAAAAATAGAGCGACGTTTACTATGGAATTGATTACGAAACAGTCCAGGTTTCAACAAAAACAGTTTTAATATAAAACTTGATCCTTACATTATTTAAAAATCAAGTTGTTGAAGTTTTTTGTGTGATATTTATGAATTTTCAAGTTAAGAGACAAATTTTCCGCGTGCTTATTATAGCATGGAATATAATGAATCATTGTAACTTATTCTAGCGTAAAAAAAATATTTATAGACCGAAGAAAAACTAAAAAAAAACAGCTAAGTTCAGAAATCCATTGGACGTTGTTCCAAAGTTGTTCAAAAGAAATCACACGATTCAATACGAATTACAAAAAAGTGCATAAAACTTTTATTTTGGCTGAGGGAGAGGAGAAAACTAATTATTTGCCAGAGATAAACAAAAGTTTGACACTATTTATAGAATATAATGGCAACTCTTTCACTATCTGTTGATACTAGGGTTAATTAAATCGATCTGATTTAAAATATTAATCATAATTTTTTAAATGTGTGGTGATTAGTGACCGTTAGTTGATTATTCAGAAATCGTGAGATGCGGTCTGGTGTGATGTAGGTTTCAGAAAAACATTTTCTTTATCGTGCCAACGTTTCGATCTTTATTGAGATCATCTTCAAGGATAGAAACGTTGGCACGATAAAGAAAATGTTTTTCTGAAACCTACATCACACCAAACCGCATCTCACGATTTCTGAATAATCATAATTTTTAAAAATCCTTTTTTTTGTTAAACTCCTTCAAGGTTTGTTAATAATGCTCCTATTGTTAGTTCAATCCAATAACTATTGTATTTTTATTTTAATTTGTAATATTTTACTTATTAGATACATATTTAAATTGTAAGCCCCCATCACCACCTGCATGTTGATGTACAAATATTTTTATTAATTATAGTAATGAATGTCCTCAAATAATTCGAAAATACATGAGAAGTATGAAATACTTAATACTAGGCTAAAAGTAGTTCAAAAATTTAAAAAATACCCCATCAAACACAAAGCATCACCTTTTGTTGGTAAATATTCGGTTTTCGCGACATTGCGGGAGGGTCATTTGGTGGCAGGCAATGGTACGACCTATTGGTCTTACCCGTATCGATTTTCATTCATTTAGATCCTGTCAAAAATATCTTAACTTTGTTCCCTGAAAGCAATGAAAGACAGTTTAGACTCTGAAGCTTGTTACCGTCGGCCAATTTATGATGAACCTATTTGCTTAGTGTCCACGTCTTTCCTTCATCGCTTACGTTATATCATTCGGGCGTTATGACATGTTTGACTCGAATGAAGTTCTATAGCTTTCCTCAATTCGTCATCATTCAAGACAGAAGGTCTACCAGATCATGGTTTCAATCCCCTCATTACCGTAAGCTAACTTTTTGAATCACTTTCGGACAGTGCGCTTACTTTTTGCTTCATCACCTAACGCAGTGCCAATTTTACGAGTGGCCATAATACCGAGCTAAAATTCGTGATATAGAAAATGTTTTATGATTTACAGTGAACTATTTAAAACCCTTTTTCTTAATGAACTGACGGATTATTCTCATGGTATTACGTTACCTGAATAAATTAAAAGTATGGTTCGCTAAGCGAAGAATGAAGATAAACCTAACGAAAAGCGTACAGGTAAATTTTACCTCACGTAAAAAATATCTGTTCTGCAGAAATGGAATCCCATTGCCTACCATTGTCCTTTTCATGGATAAACGGCTGACTTGGAATTCCATTAAAAACAGCAAGCAAACCGACGTTATAAATTATTAAAAAGACTACTCGACATTGAAAACAAACTTTTAATTTACAAGACAATGCAATAATCTATTAGCACATTTATCACTTCCAGCCCTACCTGACAAACCTCCAAGACGATTGAAACAAAAGTGACCCCCGAGACCATCTCAATGAGTGAAGATTGCAAAGATTTAAGTGTGAAAGAGTGTTGCCACTGGGCAATTACTCCTACAAAAGGCTCAAATGACAAATTCAACATGTATGAACATATTTACTTAATTCAATATTTGTAGTTATAAATATCAAATAAATCTAATAAAAAAGGTATTACATGATGTAAACTCCTATGCAATTATAAATGTTGATTAACATTTTTATTAATGGTTTTTATCGTTTTTAAACAATAAGAAAGCAATCCAGTGTTTCCATAAACATTTCCATTTAAAACTAAATAATAACACTACACAAAAAAAAACACTCTCCTTGATTTAGGATATCCTTATTTTCAATGCCAAACTTTCCACAGGTAATTTCCAAATCAAACTCCTAACACTGTTTCTTCTGTAAAATATATAAGATTGTAAGTTAATTTTTTTTTTTTTTTTAATTAAAAGCAAATTTAAAAACTTGTAATCAATTGTAATCATACAGTGTAAAAATGTTGATTTTTTATAACTGTTTAGCTAAAGTTAATTCAATAGTTGCGTCAAAATATCAAATCTATCAATTATCTCTTACACTTTTTCTTGTGTTAAATATGTCATGTAAGAATATGTTTTTTAAACTATTTATACTCCGATAAAGTCCTAAATAAATTAAGTTCTTAAGTACTTAATAACATCCTTTGTGTTTCTATTGCCGCAGAACTGACTTCCCTAGATACATTAAGGTTTTTAAATCGGCTAAAACAAAGTTTTGTATGAAATTCGTTACAAAACAGCCCAATAAAAAAAATTTCTTAAATATACACAAATTCGTCATTAGTTTTGATTTCTAATAAACCTCAAATTCCAAATTTAAACTTAATAACGAATAAAACAAAGTTTCTTGTAAAATTGTTTTTGAGTTTCCGTACAAACACACAAAAACCATTATCTTCTGTAAATGTACATCAATAAGATATTTACTAATTTCGTGGTCCGCTTGACCAATTAATATATTACAATTAATTAAGGTTGTTAGTCGAGATAAAAAGGTCACGATAGCTTAAGTGGTAGAGCTGCGGCGTATCAAGCCGAAGATCGTGGGTTCGAAACCCGCTCGTGTCATTGACTTTTTTTATCTCGACTAAAAATCTTAATTAATTGTAATCAATAAGATAGTTGATTTCTAATATGGTGGCTAAACTTTCCATTGGTTGCGTCAAAGTCAATGTCTTTGCGTATGTAATTCATGCTGTATTTAAGTAGCAACATAATTTATATAAAAAAGAGACAACTTTGCCGTGTAATTATAATGGTTTTAGATGAGATGAATTGTTGTAAACTCATTTTAGCAAGGGTTTTTTTATAACTATTTATATTTAGTTGACAGATTTTTTCAAAATTTTTAATCCATAATGTAAAAAATGATTTCAATGTTGTAATTTATAATAACATTTTTGTTTGTCTGTAAAATTCTGCCTATTTGAAAGGACTCTTGGTGCAAAAAGTACATCAAAATCGGTTTAAATTAGAGATTTTTAAGTAGTGTCTTTGCGTAGGTGATTCATGCTGTATTTAAGTAGCAAAATAATTTCTATAAAAGAGACAACTTTGACATGTAATTATAATGGTTTTAGATGAGATGAATTGTTCTAACCTCAAGCTACCACGTGATTTTATAACTATTTATATTAATATTGACAGATTTTTTCAAAATCTTTAATCCATAATGTAAGGAATGTTTTCAATTTGCAATAATAATAGTGATAATATTTTTTCACATCCTACATGTATTTGTAAAATTTAAACAATGTTTGTAAATCCCAGGCCCTGAAGATGATCTCAATAAAGATCGAAACGTTGGCACGATAAAGAAAATGTTTTCCTGAAACCTACGTCACTCTAGACCGCATCTCACGATTTCCGAATGATAATATTTTTGTTTGTCTGTAAAATGCTGCCTACTTGAAAGGACTCTTGGTGCAAAACGTTAATCAAAATCGATTTAAGTTAAAGATTTTTAAGTAGTGTCAATTGGGATAAGGTAAGAAATAAAGTTGGTTGTTGACTTACTACCGAGGCGAAGACTAGTAAAAGAAGGCGAAGGTGCATCTTTGGCATGGGTGGAGGTTGGGTGCTGAGATTTCGCCGGTTCCGAGACGATGAGGCCAAACAAGGCGTTATCTTAAGACGAACATCGTCCCTCGAATATAGCGGGGCTTCTGGTTCGTCCTTTCTGACGAAGCGACCCAAGCGGGACCTCGAAGAATATCCAGGTTCTTCGCCCCTCCATGTCTTCTGATATATGGGTCACGGCAGGATTCGAGATAAAGCGGATTCCGAGGATTTGCAAGGTGCGCCTTTTTCTGGCCATCGGTGACTTCAACGCCGAGGGAATTTCTTCAAATAATGAGAGCGAAGCGATTCGTAAATTGTTTTAATCTTTTTCGAGATTGGTACTGTGTGTTAGTGCACAATTAACATAGTAACTTTTATCACATTTTTAACTGTTATATATATGTTTGAGCTATATAAAATAATATAATACATATAATATTGTATTTTATGTCACATGACAATTATAATTTTACAGCATGACATCGTTGGTTTTCAGTAGCTGCAGCCGATTTCAACCAATTCTTCAGTAGTTCGTATGTTACCTCATATAGGATTTTCGTAAGGATCCTTAGTTTTATATTTTTCTATGTTATTTATTAATAAAATTGTCAAAGCTACTAAATGCTGAAGTAAATTTACATCTTAGCAATCAACACGTCCAATTTAACGATACCTCTTTAATCATAATCCCACAGAACCGAATTTCATATCATATGCTACGCTGGATAAATAATTTAAATGTAAAAGTAGGATAAAGGAAATACGGAACTGAATTTCATTCTATTATTACTTAGTTTAGTTATTATTATTAATTTTTAAGGGCATTTTAATGACTAACGTCATTTCACCCCCTAACATTTAAACCTTCTATCTTAGAATTAATTATTCTTTTTATGTAAGGTCTTGGTTGAGATAAAAAGTCAATGTCACGAGCGGGATTCGAACACGCGACGTTTGGCTAAATACGCCGCTGCTCTACCACTTGAGCTATCGTTACTTCGATCCTCTCGGACACCTACGCCCCATTTCAACCTATAACCGTTCAAATTTTCCCACTTATTGCCATTTTCATTCTTTTCTATCTTAGGTTAGCTCTATCCATTCTGAGTGCTTCTCTGACTCCAAACATTCACTCATAAACTAATATATCCAAAATCCTATTGCCATCCAAGGTTTTAATTTATCCTTTTAAAAGTCTTAATTTGGAATGCCAAATGTATGCAAAAAAATTAAATTATAAACTTTATTCTTGTTCTTTAATTAGAATTTCGAGTTTTTTTTCCATAATTTTTCCCATAGGCGTGTATGGCCAATAATAATAATAATAGAGGGGCGCCGGTGGCCGCGACGGTTTAGGTGTTGACACGGCGCTCATCACTGTAAGGTGAAGGTCCTGGGTTCGAATCCAGCGGCCTTGCATTCAAAACCGACATACTTACAAATGGGCTTTTTTCAAAAACACCGGCACTCTGAGGGTTTATATGACCTCTGCTGTTGCGAATCCTCGTAAAAACTAAAGGAAAAAATGAAGGAGCTCGAGGTATGAAGGAGCTAGTTGAAACAGGACTAATTCTCTGGAATACCCAGGTTTTTTATAATTATATATTTGTATAAATAAAAAAATAATAAAAAATTAAAAAAATAATAATTCAGTTAGACGAACAACAGTTACAGCCAGAATCTAGGCTCATCGCTATCCTTTTATTCTTCTATAAATATTATAGATAAACTAATGCTACTTAACAGTAATAAGAAACAAAAACACAATAACACATTTTTTCTTTTTATCCACTTTTTTGGAAGGAGCTATTTTTCTTATTTTAGTTGAGATTTTGAGCATTGTAGTTTTTACCCAGCAATTTGTATTTTCTTCTTATTCATTTTTCCGCTCCAGCAGCCTCAAAAATTCCTGAAAAAAGAAAGAAATCTTGCACGCTCTCATTAAACACTAGCAAACAATTCACGGGTATAACAATTTGGGAAAAGGCCTAAATCTCATTATAAATTCCAATAAATTTGAGAAAGTAAAGTAAAGTGTAAAGTGCTCTTCGAAACAAACACTGGGAACCGAGTAACTCCTTTAAATTTCCTTTGCCTAAATGGCTTAGTTTGTAACTTTATATTGTGTTCTAATGTGTATTACTTTCCAAAACGTATTCCTTTTTTTACTTTTATTGATTTCTGTGTCAATACGTTTTCGTGTTTATTTTTTTAATGCGTATTTTAAGTTCATGTTGGTTATGTGTGAGGCCGCCTAGTTAGTTTTTTTTCGATTCGTTTTTATTTGTATGTACTTTAATTCTTTCTTTAGTAACTGTGCGTATATTACAGCCATTGTTGTATGTTAGGTATTTATGTTTCACTAGTCAGTGATATTGGTTTTACTCTTTATTATTTGAACTCCAAGGTTACAATTTTTTGTCTATGTAGATGACTTTAATCTCCGTGAATATTTTATTCTTGTTTTCAAAAAAGAGAGCGGATTAAATTTTAAAAGTATAAAATCAAGACCTGTAAGTTACTAGCTTCACCCTGCTATCAAAATTAACAAGGAGATAAGGAACAGGAAGGTACAATAAAAGAAACCTGTTTGTGAGCATTTAAATCTCGAGGGTACATCAATCAAGCAAGCTATTAAAAATTGATGTATAATAATAGTTAAAAAAAATATTAAAACAAAAACATGCTAGAACGACGTGCAATGAACAAAAACAGATTTTTGGTGGGAACCTAGTTCGAAACATTTTATTTAAACCAATTGTCAAATTTTACAAATCTGTTCAATAAAATACAAAAATTGCACAAGATTCTATGACTGATCTGCCACAAATTAGATAGATGTGACGGAGGACATTAGGAAAATCCTTGCCCGAATCAGATTTCACGCGATTTACTACACGATTAACTGGCCCGTCTGACCTCGAGTGTCGGTGTCAATAATGTGTTCAATATGGATTATCTATTGAAATGTCTAACCCGCCAGTTCAAGGATAAGAATTTTTTTTATTAAGGAAACTAAAAACACCTTCAAACCAGGTTGAATTTTTTCTATAGAAAAGGTTTTTCTCGTATAATCCATACCGTTTCGTTACAAACAAACCAATAAGCAAAAGAATACATTATGACTTTTATTCCCACAGACCTAAGAGATAGAGCAAGAAAAAAAGGATAAATAAAAAAATTACACCGATATCGTTATCCTTGTTGTTCAATTTACGTCGGTTCGGTCCAAAAGACCCTCGGAGCGGCGGAATTATGTTCGTTAGTGTGACATTCATACGGAGGACAAACAACACGGTCCATTACGTTTTGTATAGCGCCGAAGGGACGAACTACTGGTATAACAGACAATTACTTGATTTTGAAATAATAGTTCTATTTTAAATTATAATAGCTTCTATAAATCTGAAACACCGGGAAAGTCTTGAACTTCATCGTTCGTTCTGCCTATTCAAGTTCAAAATTAATCTTAAAAACGATAATGAATACGACTTTTTTTCAAACCGAGTCTGAGCGTTCTCCTTAGGGCCCTTTTTAACTCTCTTTAAAAAATATTAACTTTTTAAATGAATATTTAAATCTAGGCAGGAACTTACGATGGTAGAAATGCATTATTTCCTTTTCTCAATGTGTGATACTAACCTGCACGACAGGAAAGTAAAGTATTTAGTATCCAGTAATACTGGATGTGTCCCGTTTAAAATGAATGTATTATGAATTTTTTTATTACTGTACAGTAGTACTATTGTTATTATATTATTGTTATTGACTATTACATATTATTATTTCTTTAATAGGTTGTTTTTTACATTCATTTTTTTACATAATTGTATTCAGATGTTCCAGGGCATTTTTGCAACTTTTTGCACCTAAACTGCATTGAATATAAGGAACATTTATACAGGGTGTGCATTTTTGACGGTATGAATTTCTCTTTAACCACTCACGCTATAAAAAAATACCTGTTTAATATTTTTAGTTTAATACTAAGTTTTATCAGCTTCTATTAATTGTGTATTTATTTTTAGTTTAGTTTCAAATTTTTACCTTTTTTGGAGAAAAAGTATGCAAGGTACATATCTAATTTTATTTTTTTTTTTGTTTTGAAAAACCTAAAACTCCTCCAACATTTCGGAGATAGGAAGTCGTTTTTCGCAAATATACAGTAAAATATTCAGCTCCTTGACGAAATTACACTGCCGGTTTCTTTTTGCTATAACTTTGTAAATTTTGACCAATTTAAGTAGTTAAAATCCGATTGCACCATTGTTTTCAGCGTAAAAATTCCTTTAAAATGATGTGCCAGTATGCAAAGTACAGTTCAACTTCAAAATTTCAAATACGAACAGATACATACTGACTCATTTTTGCGTCAATTTAAAATCCGATTGCATCATTGTTTTTAGAGTAAAACATCCAATACAATTTACATTTATTAGCTTTCGTGGTCCGCTTGCCCAAATAAATCCGTTTCAATTAATTTGAAAAATGGCAAAAATGAGGGATGGGGTTGAGATGGGAAGTTACTGTCCGAGTGGAACGAAGTCGCGATAGCTCAAGTGGTAGAGCAGCGGCGTATTTAGCCGAAAGTCGTGGGTTCGAATCCCGCTTTAGACACTGACTTTTTATCTCAACCAAAACCTTACATAAAGATTAATTAATCGAAAAAATCTGTTAAAATAATGTGTCAGTATCTTTAGCGTCATATTTGAAATTCTGAAGTTGAACTGGGCCTGTGGCCTGCCTTGTTTAATTTTTCTTCAAAAAAGTAAAAATGGGAAACTAGTCTAAAAAATATTAAAACGTATTTTTTGATAGTCATTGGTTGAAGGGAAATTCAACCGGGCCATCTAAAAATGACACCTGTATGTATTAAGTATACATTAAACACACAATAGTTTTACACATTATTAGATGCAGGTACATGAGTTCAATAAAGAAGTAAGGAAACAAGTATATTCAAGTACATGATATACACAACAAATCAACTAAGAGATAAAGAAAACATCTTTTTTTACATTATTTATCACAACAATGTGTTAAACCAGTTATATTAGCAGACATGGAACATTTAGTCATGGGTCGTTAAAACGCAACAGTTCAGTTAGTTCCTTAGTTTAGGTTTGATACTAAACTGCATGACTTGAAAGTAAAGCATTTAGTAGCTAGTAATACATCCACAAAATCATAAACAAGATAAAACTAAATAAAATCTGTGTTTGCTATAGACAAAGACATATCCCAAGCATTTAACATGTTATGGCAACAAGGGCTTCTGTGAAAGCTCAATGGCATCCTACCATCTACTTTTAACCTTATTATAAAATCTTATCTTACTGACCGCCATTTTCACACTTGCCAAAAAATCTCTTTCCCCTCAATATACCAGATTCTCAATGGTGTCCCACAGGGTAGCGTACTCGCTCCCCTACTGTACTCAATTTACACCCCATCACTTCCATTTTTACCTTTACCGATGACACATGAATACTCTCCTCCGATTAATATTTATTTGTAGCAACACGTAATTTACAAAATCAACTTGAATCCTGGCTCTCCAATGGAGAATCAGGGTAAACGGAAGGTAAATCAAAATAAATTATTTTTACCCTGAACAAAAAAAAAAAAACTCTACCCCCACTATTTTTCAATTTTCTTCCTATACCCGTTGCGAACCACGTATGATACCTTGGACTGTACCACGACAAACGATTTACATGAAATGCTCATAAAAGACACAAAGGTAAACATTTAAATTCACATTGATTAGAATGGTCGGACTCGTGTCAAATATTTTTCGACCTGGAATTACCAAGAGAAAAGGGTTATTAAAATCTGTTGTAACAAAGAAAAATATTGATTTCTAAAAATTAGTAGCTCAAGATACATTTTTTTTATAGATACAACAATTTAATTTGTAAATATTTGGCAATGCTTAATTTTTTTTTAACGATAGTACTCAACAGGGTGCCGATGTTTAAAAAAAACCCCATTTGTATGTATGTCGGGTTCGTATGCAGGCCGCTGGATTCGAACCCAGGGACTTTACCTTACAGTAATGGCGCCGTGTCAACGCCTAAACCGCTGCGGCCAGTTACAAATCAAATGTAGAAACTGAATAATTTATTGCTTAAATCTTAATTTAAAAAAGCATGCTCAAAGTATACCCGTTGCGAACCACGTGTGATACCTTGGTTGGTACCACGACAAACGATTTACATGGAATGCTCATAAAAGACTCAAACGTAAACATTTAAATTCAAGATGCAGTCTACATATTTTACAAGATTACTAATAATTTTGCTCGTTTTGGTAGGACATATAGCATACATTGGTTAAAACGATCCCACATTCCACCCACACCAACACAAACTTTCAGCACTGCGACACATGATACACAGACTAAAAACAATCCCACTCGACACCGAAAACTACAACAAGAACTACAAACAATAACAAACATTGCAATAAAAAACGGATACAAAACAAACACCATACAGAAACCTCTAAAAAACAAAACAAAACAACGAAACACAAATCAACAGCAAATGGACAACATTCCCATACACAGGAAAAGAAACCTACAACTAACAAATCTGTTCAACAAACTCGGACTGAAAAACAATATAAATACTCAATTAATTGTACACAAGTTTTTTTCGAAATGAAAAATTGTGTACAATTAATTGAGTATTTATATGTTTAATAAAAGCTGATGAAATGTAGTATTAATCTAGAATCACACCTGTGAATCGCACACAGTCCCGCTAATCTAGTATAATCGTTAATAAAAAGTGTTTCTATATGAAGACGCGATTTGCTTATAATTACAATAAAATCGGGTAGTCGAAATGAGAAGTTTGTGGCATGGGCGTTCGAAGTCACGGTAGCTCGAGTGGTAGAGCAGCGGCGTATTGAGCCGAAAGTCGTGGGTTCGAATCCCGCCTGTGACACATATTTTTTATTTCGAAAAAAATTTGTACAATTAATTGAGTATTGACAGACAGTTTTTCACTGAAGATGGCGTAATGCCGAAACGCGTTTGAATAACTCAAACAAAAAACAAAAAAAAAACCGCGAGTGAAGACAGATCCAGTAGTGCCCGTGTGCCGGTTCAGCATGAGTTCGCCAACTCGCAGACCAAACCCCCATCATCTACAAATATTAGTAGCTCAAGATAAATTTTTTTATACAAGAGAAATTGTATTCAGTTTAATACAACAATTTAATTAAAATTTGTAAATATTTGGCAATGTTATGTGTGGTTTATGTTAATGTTACAAATAAAATGTAGAAACTGAATCATTTATTGCTTAAATCATAAATTAAAAAAAAATAAATACGTATTTTTTAAATCAACATTGCTCGAAATAGTTGAAAATTAAAAGTGTTTCAAGTTACTTTATTTAAACTTTAACATACGCCCGGTTCCCTGGATGGATGCAATGAATAATTAAACTAAAAAACTTTTCACCTTGATTAAATCAATTTGAGCTGCGTAGAGCCAGCGGGAGCATCAAACTGCACGGGTGAGAGGCCTGATGCAAATTAAACAAGCGCATGTAGTGCGCCTGGGGCGTAAGTGGCTCAGGTTAATCTTGAGGCCTAATTTGATAATTGAGACAACAGAAGGTGAAGAGAACTTATTAGCTGAAACTATGTCGTTTCCCTTCGGATTAAAACATTGCAGTTCGAGCCCTTTATAACGGGTGTACGCTTTAAAATCTATATCCCTCGGAGCGGAATAACCGCCTGTATTGTTTTCACTGCGATAAAAGTGGTAAAATATTTTATTTTATAGATTTTGATGGGGAGGTCTTTCTATCCAATTTGGATTCTGGAAAACAAGTAGAATTTAAAAAAAATTCGTTATACTCATAACTCGTTACACAATACACAATTCTTATTTTTTCCAACGTCTGAGGAATAGCTAGAACATCTCACAACGAAATTCAAAAATGTAAATTATTTAATATTGCATTATTCCATAGCCAAAAAAGCAATAAACAAAACCCTATGAAAAACATGCCAGTGCAATAATTATTTTTCATTCTACACGAGTATTGGTCCAGAACAACTATATTTAAAATGAGCCACATTATCAGTTTTTTTATTGATAACCTATCGCTTCTTTTCAGCCGATTTCTTCGAGGGCATGATCTTTGAGGTGACAGGCAACAACAACAAAAATTGTGCCTATCGATGGGACGTTTGATGTCACGTTTGACAAACTGCTACAACAAGAAAGCAAATTAACCTAATCTGCATGCGTTCTCATGCAGCTGCGCAAATATGAAAAGTGAAGAAAGTAAAAGGATAGTCGTAAAAATCGCTTAAGAAATAAAAAGTAATGTATGTCCAACTTCTTATAAATTTTATCGTTCACACTGCCTAGATTTTTTAAACAGTCTCTCTCTCTCTCTCTCTCTCTCTCTCTCTCTCTCTCTTTCTCTCTCTCTCTCTCATTCTCTTTTTCTCCCTCTCACTCTCTCTTTCTCTCTTTCTATTTATGTTTTTCTCTCAATCTTTGCTTCTGTGCTTTTTTGTTACAATTTTTATCTACGTAATCGTATCTTTAATATCTTTATCCATCTATTTATCTACTTCACCCAATCCAATATTTCTGCTTCATTCCCTCTTTTCATCTCTCTCTCTTTCTCTCAAACTGACTCTCTCTCTCTCTTTCTCTCTTTCCCCCTCCTTCCCTCTCTATATGTCTGTTTCTTTCTCACTCTCACTGTCTCCCTCTCTCTTTTTCACTTGCTTTCTTTCCCATTTTCCTCCGATCATTTATATTTCTTGCTATGTATTCAACCATCCATCCTTCCATCCATCTATTTATCTACACATATATTTACCCATTTATATATCTATCTCACTTTTCCTTTCTCCCTCTGTCTCTCTATTTTTCGCTGCCACCCACTCTCACTCACATTTTCCCTCGATTACTCTATATTTATACGTTTATTTTTGGATTTTTTAAATCTATTTAGTAGGATTTAAAATGTAAAAGAGCGATTCATATTTGAAAGTATTTCATTTTATTGATTTCATAGAGACCAATCTGATCACCTTTTTTATAACTGACAGTGGTATAATATGAAAATCAGAAGAAACAGGCAATAATTTTAAACAAAGGAATACTTCTTATAAAGAAAACGAATTTTCTATTTTAAAATTTCCTTTTTTAATGTTGTAAAAGTAGTTATTGCATTTATATGCAATCAATTTGCATTCACATCAAAAAGAAATTTTTTTTTTAAAAACTGTTAACAAACAAGAAAATATTTTTCTTAACATATTTCAGTGACATGTTTTGAACAGACAAGATCAAGATGGTTTATCTAATTGCTTCGCTTTAAAAGATAATAAAACATAAATCATTATTGTTTAAAACATATCATTATTTACAATGATTCAAAACTGTACAAAATCTGTTTAGGTTTAAGATTAAAACAATTAAATAGCGAGCGTTTAAAACTAGAAGACAAAAGAAACAAATTATTATCCTAAAATTAAAATTTTCTAATAAATGAATAATGGTAGACTAATACCACCAGGCACTATAAATATAGTGAGGTCCTTAAATATAATTATAGAAATTTAAAATTACAAAAATCCTTATCAAATTAATTTATTACACTACTGAATTACACTAAAACAAGGAAAACGGTATTTTTGGCATTGTGACAGTTAACAGAAGAGAGTTGGAACCTTAAAGCTAAAATTGAATAAATTAAATATAAATATTTTGATTTTTTTGATATATTTAAGTAATCACATGCAAATTTAATCGAAATAAAGTTTATAAGTAGTAATTATAATGAAGATCACATCCGAGAAAATTTCACTCTGTAAGACGAGTTTTTTTATTTCGATGTTTTCCTGAAGTTCAGTCTTCACAATTTGAAATGTAGTTTTTTTCACAGCACTAACTGACGCAAGCACAAGCGTCTTTCATGTTACGTCTCACCCAGTTTAGATAACTGGTCACCCTCGTGTAAACGCCTGGGTAGCCAGGCCTTCCGCAGCCAACTCCCCACGAAACAATCCCTTGGAAGAAAAAAAAATTCAATCTGTGTAAATAAATGTTTTGAAATAGATAATAGGTAAATAAAAAAGTGGCAATCTCTGGTCCGCTGATGTTTTCCCGCTAGGCTTGCCTTCAGGAAAATGGTGATAAACAACAGCGAAGTTACCGTTATCATCCAAAAAAATTTGTTCAATAAAATATAATGTACAATTAAATTAACTTATTAACGAAATAAAGCTGATAGGTTTTTTTTCGCTCCCAAGTACTCCTTAAAACAGCTTTTTGGTGAAAAAATTATCAAATTTTTCGTCTTCAAGTGAACGCGATATTTATTTTAAAATTACAAAACTACAGACAACTTTTAAACTGCAGACGATTTTACAGCTTAGAACTCTATACACTGTATCTTGAAAAATGGAATAAAAATCCTCTACACTGAATTTAATGGAAAAAAATAGTCTCAGTTAATAAACTAGAATTTAAAGTATAAAATAAAACTATTTCTGTTCCTGTAAAGTTCCTGAATTTTTTCTCATTTTTTCTAAATATAATGACACAACATATAACTTGAAGGTACAATTATTTAGCTTTTCAATGGTAGTAAAATGGTTTATAATCGATAAAATCCATAGGAATTAAGTATGATATGCTGATGAAACCCAAAAATTTCATTTTTTTGTTGGATATAGAAGATCATATCCAATAGCTTTAAAAGAATTGCTTTGTTTTTTCTAACACAAATTGTCTATTATACAAGAAGAATTTTTTAATTTTTGTAACTTTTTATACATCCAATCTCATTTCGTATAATTGTTCAAAACATTTTCTTATCTTTTGTTTAAAAAAACCGACTGATATACAATAAATAACCGTGAAATACAGAAAAATAAATTTAAAAAATAAAAGTTTTTAAAATAAGCAATAAAACCTTAAAACAAACAAGGCAATTCAAGCGAAAAAGTCCTGCGAGTGTAGGAAGTCTATTAGAAGAAAAAAATTAATTATTATTATCACTGTTCGGTTTTATAGCTGCTTATAGTTAACAGTATTCTTAAAATGAACGATAAATATAATAGTGGCACAAAGTACTTACCAACAATCTCGAACTTTTCTCCCTCGGTGTTCAACAGCAAGGGGCCTCCGCTGTCACCCTGTAAGACAACATGAGGATAACCGTGGTCAAAGTGCAGAAAGTCGAAGTTAAGCTTTTTACCTGGCAAGAGTCCTGGATACCTTTCCCGGCGCAGACCATGTTGGGTGTTATCCTGCTAGGCCTGTATTTAGTCGCGCGGCACTGCTGCAGAGTCAAAATCGGTACCTGAACCTCTTGGACAATGTTGGCCAGGTTGCCCCCTTCCGAAGTTCTGCCCCATCCGACCACTGTTCCCACTTTGCCGGCAGGATCCATGGCTGAAACATTTCGAATATTTACTTATTTAAAATTGACTTTGGACGAAGTGAGTTATGAGTTTAAACTGTCTTGTTTTCGGTGCCTTGTTCATAAGTCAACAGCATGATCATCTTGGCATAGCCGTTTCAATCCCCCCCAATAGCACCCTTTCAATCTAACTCGGGTAAAATTCAGATGAATATATTTTTCCCATTTTTTAACATGGCTATGCTTTCGGGCTAGGAACCCAAATGTTTTTGGCGTGACCATGTTTGCGTGCAGTAGGCAGTGGTTGGGTCAGGTTATGTAGAACTAGTGTTTGCATTAAGTCAAAGTAAAAAGTAATGTATGTAATTACTGTCATACAGGAGGGAATATCGTTGCTTCTTTCATACTATTCCCAGTTAAAAATCCACAAGCTGTGCTGAGATTAGAACCCAGGATGTGGTATATACGAGTCGGACACCATAACTACTTGGCTACCACGGTTTCACCCATTAATTAGCATTATAATTCAAGTTAGCCTAGATTCGGTTAGGTAGCGTACTTATTAACAAAGTATTAATTAATCTAAAATTGTTTCCATTTGGTGGAAGAAAAAAATGGTTAAAGATAATCTATTATAACATAATGGATTTAGATCTAACTGTAAGCTGAAAAGCATAAAAGTAAATATTAAGTTAAGCCTATCAACTAATAAACTGGTCTGAAGAAGTTTTCGCGCTTTTGTTCTTTCCAGTCACTTTCACCGTGTCCAGCTGAGCTTTCTGTTTTGGCTCTGGCCTTTACGACCACCCGAAAGTGAAATTGCAATTGCCCTCAGATGCCAGATTCTTGATTTTAGAGGATGATTTAAAAATAAATAAATAAATGATGTTAAAAAGGTGAAAGTTACAGATCTGGATTGTTACGTGGTATAGCTTGCGTTACTTTTTTTTCCATTATGCTAAATTACAAAGGTAATTGTTACATGTTTTAAAAAATAAATTGTAAATAAATAAATAAAAAATAAATCTTATTTGCCCATTAATTTTTATAGTTGACTCCATTTTAGTATCATAAGTGCTTAATATTCCAAGTTAAATCTATATTCTATCTATGAAAGTTTAAAAAAAAATTGATTTACGAGAAGTTGACTGAAATTTCGTTTTAAAAATATTACACAATTTGTTTTTATAGTAAAAAAACAACCATACGCTGTTTTACGGCTGAATAAAGCAAAAGATTCCGGTTACATCTGGAGCGAAAGTGAAAGCGACTGGAGGCGCAGAATGGAAAACTCCCATTCGCGAGTGTTTGCGGACGAACGGAGGTTTTACGTGGTTGAGAACGAAACAAATCGGACCTGAGTTGGGAAGGCAGACTGGACGGATGTTCTTGGTGAAAGACACCGGCTTCCTCAGTTTCAGGAGGGCTATGTCATGATTGTACGAGTTGACGTCGAAGTTTCTGTGTCTGATTATTGATGACACGGCTCGCATAATCGCCGGGCTGTCAGTGGTGACGTACTGGTCGTGATCGCCTAGGATAACTCTAATCTTAGAGCGCTTTAGCCTAAAAACAACACGAGATTAAATGTTCCATTAACACCATTTATAACAGAAATAAAAAAATTTAATCATTTAGCTTTATTGTAACAGGAAAAAGTAATTAATAAAGTACTTTGGCTTGATAAAAAAATATTGCATTAGTTAAAGGTTTTTAAATCTCTGATCATAATGATCCTTAAAAACTCAACAACAAAACAATTATGTCATCATCATTACGATTCCTCATATTTACTTGTTGGATTATATATTTATATATTAGCTATGTAGAAAAAATTAAAGAGGGGTCGGAATTTAGATAAAAATAAACAAGAGATAATGATAGAGAAAAATTCAGAGTTAAGGAAGAGAGTAGCGTAGGAAAAAGCTTACAGAGAATGTATATTTCAGTATGTATGTGGAAGGTGTGTCAGAACAGTGTAGTATCCAGTTTAGGGTTAGTGAGATAGATAGATAGATAGATAGAGAGAGAGAGAGAGAGAGAGAGAGAGAGAGAGAGAGAGAGAGAGAGAGTGACTGACTGAGTGATGAAGTGGGAGATGTAATCATGAAAAAGGAAGAGTGGGAGTGAGGTGTATGGCAAACATAAAAAGCTAGATGCTTGATCAATCTACTTACCAGATATCTAAATCTGTATCTACCAGACAGTGAGAAATATTGAGAGTGGGCGAAAAAGAATTCGGGAGGGTGTGTGGGGGATAATGACAGAGTATCGAGCAGATCGAGGTAGAGATTAAGAGAGAAGGAAAGATTTGGAAAGTGCATGAGAGTAGACAAAGAAAAATTTCGAAAGAAAAGACAGAGAGAATGTGAGAAAGGAAGACAGAGAGAATGAGCGTGATTTTCTACGCCACATTTAAGCATAAATGTAATATTTTATGCAGCAGTTCATTTTTTATAATAAAAAGATAATCCAAAATCATAGTTTTTATGGGTTTTATCCCGTCAATCATTATTTTGGTGTTGAATAATTATAAAACCTTTCGGCAACGAAATTGGACAAAATAAACCTGTTTTATGAGAGAAGTTGTGAATTTGCAAGATATTTTTTGTGAGAGATTTTACCTTCGAACGCAATGGGCTGCTGTGAGGACATAATCACCGTTGAGTAGGCTTCCGCCACAGTGGAACTGGCCGTCGTAGACCAATCTGGCGACCCACGGATATCTGTTGACCCCCGTCGGCCTTCCACCGACAATCCTGATCTCTTGGTTCACCAGTCCGCACTCTGCCAACAACACGAACAAATCCGTGAGCACCTGCCAGTAGGATGACAAAGTTACAAAATAACAAAGGCGTAGTGTTTCCACAATTATTAGAATTGCACTTTCGGACCAGGGGAAAACCGGGCTATGGGCCGATATGTTTGCAGGGACGTTAATCAGAAAAAATAAGAAAATGTTGAAAAGGCTATGGCAATTTCAAACAGGTGAGTTTTCAGGGTTAGGGTTCAGATCATGCAATCAACCTGTTGTTGATTTTTGTTGACTGATTTGAGCTTTTTCGCTACATTCAATTTTCGGACAGTGTATTATACCATCAATGATCCTTTTAATTAATTAATCTTTATGTAAGGTATCGGTTGAGATAAAAAAGTCATTGTCACGAGCGGGATTCGAACCCACGACCTTCGGCTAATTACGCCCCTGCTCTCCCACTTGAACTATCGTGACTTCGATCCACTCGGACACCAACTTCCCATCTCAACTCACTTTTTCAATTTCCCCTCCTTTTTGCCATTTTTTTTCCAACCAATACTTTACATAAAGATTAATTAATTGAAAGAGGTTATTTGGCCAATCGGACCACAAAGATCCTTTTAATTATGGATATAAAATTGCTCTTTGCCGACCAAAAAATTACGAAAAGTAATGATAGATATACAGGGACAACACGGAATGAAATAGCTACTTGACAGACCATTGAAGATGACGAGTGACCAAATGCACCTAACAAACCGAACCAGCGAGCATAAGCAGACCACCAGAAAATCTGCAAAATCCCCTAAGATCAGGCGCCAGTCTTTGTCCTAATGAAAGTTTAAACTGTTTATTAGTATGAAAGAGCGACCTTGACGCGTTCTCACTTTCATCGAGAGGACTTTCACTGGGAAAGAAAGCTTGTAAAAAGCTCGGCCGAGCTTCCACGCCGCGAGTTTCTTCTTCTTTTTTCTTCTCGAGTGAAGAAACGGCCGGGACAGTTCGCCTGGGATTTTCCTGGAAAACGCAATTTAACACTGAGAGTATTACTTTGCGGGGGGGGTCGAGGTTTATGAGCTCGGGGACCAACACAAATATTGCATCTAAAGCAGGAATAACATTAATATGAAACATTTACTTTAGACTCATATAGTCCACTTTCCGTCCAATACCAACATTCGATTTCAATCTTCCCTACATCTACTCTTAATATGAATTTCACCACGAACATTCGAATGTAGAAATATCTCAAAGATAAAACCAACAGTTAAGAGTTACTTATCAATGTAAACCCCAAAGTTTTTCATCATAAGTCTACTCTTTGATGTCATAAATCTATATTTCACTTCATTTATTATTGAGAATTCTTCATATTCTGTGGGTTTAAGTATAAGGAATATAAAAAAATGTTTAAACCATTCTGTGACTCTGTTAGAAAGAAATATTAGAGAAGTATCTAAACAAAAGGTGATGGTGTTAATGACATAATCAAGAAATGGTATATGTTCATACAGAAGCTCGGTTATTTTATTCTTTGTTGCGTTAAATTTCATTAATTAAACTGAACATTCTCTTCACAAACGTTCAACTCTAATTTAATTTAAAGCTAATTCCTAAAGTGTTCTTTTTTATTAATTTAATTATATTTTATCAATGTAATTAGCATATCACCTTATCTATTAACGCCTAGTAATTTAATTTTTTTAATACCAGCACGTTAGGTTTGTTTGTATGAAATAATTAAAAATGTGTTCAGAAATGGTTAAATGTCATTATTAATCAGAACAAAGGAAAAGTCTTTGTATTATTAATTCCTATTTGTTTTTTTTTTTAAACGAGGATCCGCAACAGCAGAGGTCATATCAACCCTCAGGGTGCCGGTTTTTGGAAAAAAAAGCCCATTTGTAAGTGTGTCGGGATCGAATGGAGGGCCGCTGGATTCGAACCCGGGACCTTTACCTTACAGTGATGAGCGCTGTGTCAATGCCTAAACCGTTGTGGCCACCGACGGCCCCAATATATTAATTCCTATTAATGGTACCGTAATCACTTACTGATTAAAGTTGGCTTTTTTTAACGAGAGAATATTGAAACTCATTCAAGCATGAAAGGCTTAAAAATAGTAAATGTATTTAATTATACCGTTCTCGCTGTAATTTTACACAAAGAGCTGGCCAGCTTTTGCCCATAAGTTGCCGACAAAATTTCAAACCAATTCTATCGAACCGCCGAAGAATATTAATTCAATTCTGATACCCTACTCGTCACTCAAGACGTTCCGAATTCAATTCGAATAGAAAGAAAATTATGTTCGAAAGGCCAGGGTTTGGGACTAGTAAAAAGACTGACTACAAGAACAGTTCGATGGCGTTTCCTTCTCCTCCGCGTCCGTGTCCGAGAAGCCGAAGAAGATATCGTCGAAGAGGAGCCTCTGGGTCGCGTTGCGCTCGGTCACCAGTTCCTGAAAAATAATTAACGATATAACAAACTAAAAACCCCTGACATGTAATAATGTCAAATGTAAATTTGATGGAAATTGTTTGAACTGCTCCTTCCATTCCCAGTCAAAATCTACTTAAGACTGAACTAAACATTATTTAAATAATATAAACTTGATTACTCTACATTCGAAAAACAGACGATTTTTATAATTTATTGAAGTCGTGAGGAGCGGTCAAGAATGACGTAGTTTAGAAAAACACCTTTTTCATTTTGTTCCTACGTTTCGACCTTCATTCGGGTCATCTTCCAAGCATAAACTGTGGTGCTATAATTTTGGTGTCTTATTGGATTTGTGTGAGTGTTGTGATACAAAACCAATATGACTACCAAGAATAGTACCACACTTTATGCCCTGAAGATGACCCGAATAAAGGTCGAAACGTCAGCAAAAAATGAAAAAGGTGTTTTTCTAAAGTACCTCATTCTGCTGGACACGACTTCAACAAATTATAAAACAACAAGTCACTAAGAAACATACACAAACGATTTTTTTTTTTTTTAAATTTATTGACAAAAATTTTGCCTAACCAAAACTGTATAATTTGCGAAAGCTACTGTACGAATATTTAATTTATTTTTAATTGTAATTTATTCTAGGTAAAATTTATTCGTTCAGGATAAGCTTAAATATTATATTCACCCGAGGAAAACTAATGAATTTAAACCGTTATAAACATGCTGATTGGTAAGGAGATTGGACGGATGACCCAATGTCACGTTTCGGCCATTCACCGTTACCTCTTGTTTTAAGACAAATTTAACCAAATATGTGATCTTCAAACCCAATGACACACACAGCTCGTACAAAGCAACATTTTTGTAAATCAGGGTAGAAAAAAAACTCAATTCAATATTGCTGACAAATGTGACAAAATACCGGATCTACCTATGAAGGATACATTTCTGGAATGGAAGCTTAGAAACAGGGAAAAACTTATTGTACAAAGTGTAACAAAACTTATTTCAATTTCTTACTTGCGTTACCGAAATGGACCACTCTCTCTTCGTCTCGAGTGATGATTTTTTTTATCCGGCTTTTTCACACGACCTAGAAATCACCGTCAACACTGACATGGCCCAGATTGTAAAATTTCGTCAAGTTAAGTATCATAAAAGCATAAAATAGACAGACAAGTGAGAGCGAAACAGAGGCACGGAAAAAAAGAAGGGGAAATCGTGATTATGAAAGGGAAAGACAGGGAGAAAAAGAGAGTGAGAGTGTCTGATGTCTGAGATGGTCAGATGCACCATAAAAAGATTTAATAAAAAAGTCATCATACAGGTAGAAAGAAAGGGAAAGAGAGAAAGAGAGAGAGAGAGAGGGAGAGAGAGAGAGAGAGAGATGCGTAAATATGGGCAAATGTAAAAATAGTAAAATAAAACGGCAGAACGAAAAATAGAGCAAGCGGGACAGTGAGAAGGGATAGAGAGTGACAGAGAAAAAAGAGACAGTGGAAGGGGGACAATGTGGATACTTAAGAATAAATCAATAGGGTAGTGCTTATTACGAAATAGCGAGAGAAAAGAGAACAAGGGTGTTTGCGTGGTTTTGTGTGTGTGTGTGTGTGTGTGTGTGTGTGTACATATATATATATGGGTGCGGGTGGGACTTGCGAAAAGAAAGAGAGGAAATGGAGAGAGATAATACTATTAGTATGGAATATATTGATGAATGGATAAAAAAAAATTCGATAAAAAGTGTGTGTGTGTGTGTGAGAAGAGAGTGAGAGTGAGAACGAGAGAAATAATGAAGGAAATGCAAATGTTTTAGGAAGGGGAAAGATTGCTGAATGAATAATAACGAAATATTGAGATAAAAAGTAAGAAAGAGAAAGAGAAGCTTATTGAAGGATTAACGATTAGACAAAAGAGATAAAAGTAGAGAGAGACGGAGAGAGAAAAAAGACACAAAGGACAGGAAGAAAGAGAGAGATAGAGAGAGAAGAATGACAGAGTGCATATAATGAAAGACACTTAGAAAACGTAACAATAGAAATATAAAAAACGATATAGGGAGAGAGTAAGGAAAAGAAAGAGAAAGAGAAGGAGTGAGAATGAAGGAGACAGGCAGATAGAGACAGGTAGAAAGGGAGAGAAATTTGGAAGTATACGTAGAAGAGAGATAGAAGAAAAATATTTAGAGAAAACCAAGAAAGAAAATAAAAACAGCTAGAGGGTTGATTAATAAATTCATAGAAAGAGAACAAAAGAGAAAGAGATAGATAGAGAGAGAGAGAGAGTGAGTCACAGACAGACTAACTAGAGAGAGATAACGCAGTATACATAGATACACATGAAAACAGAGTTAAATATTTATTTAAAAAAAATATATATATAAAGAACTCTAGAGATAGAGGGGGGAAAATAAATTAAGAAATGTAGACAAGAGAGAAAGAGTGAGACAGAGACAAGCAGAAAAAGTGAGATGAGTTAAGCTAACCTTCAAAGGTAATCGACATAAGATTTCCTAGATTAATATATTATTCAAAACAATCTTCTTTGATTATGATGTGAAACATTTTGACATTTTCATATCTCCTTGTATATCAATAAAATCTAATGGAATACAAAGCTACTAGATATTAAACAGAAAAGGACGAAGTAACGAGAGCAATTCGTTGTTATCAGGATAATTAGAAAAACTTGGTTTATTAGTTTACCTGAATCGATTGTTCAATCTCTTTCGACGCTTCTTGCTGTGGCCTGAGAGATGCTGAGACTAGAGAGAGAAAACTGATGACGATGATGTTGGTGGCGCCCATTTCAGGGAGAGCTCGCGGGCTGAGCTGCAGAACCACAGTGAGAGGCCCTCCAGTTTCTTCTGACACCTCTTCTACCCCCCAGACCGTCTTCTGCCACGGCTCAAAGAAAGTGAACGCGATCATCAACCACCACCTCCTGGGGTCGAGAAGAAAAGTCACTCCCCACCGCTGACCAGGAAATTTAAGCATCTCTATCTTTTTTACTCTTTTACATACCAAATTTGGTTCCGTATGTCCAACTATAATGCATCACTATGGAATGGATTAAACAAATCAGTGTTTTATTATTTAAATTTGTTAAATCAAAAGACTTGTAAATTTCAGGAAGAAGGAAGCTTAAGGCTTTATTTGATTTTCTAATCGATTCCTCATAAATAATGCACAAGATAAAAAAACCATTCCGTTAAATCAAAAAACAAAATACGAATGAACCTAATAAAATACTACAACTTGGAAGAAAAACGTATATGTAACAAGGGTAATTAATTTAATAAAAAAAAGGTTAAAATAAATATTCTAGCCGAAATTCATACAATTTTTATTTTTTAACAAAACGTTTTTGACCCCATGAGCCCCTTCTTCAGTGTTAATTTATCATCCTATGAAAAAATATTTTTGTTTAAATTCATTTTTAATCTTAAAATATGCATTATTTGTACTGTGAATTGCATTTACATAGCCAGTGAACTTCCCAACAATGTGTAATTATATTTTTGTGTAATTATATTTTCATTTTTACATATCTATATTATGATTATATTGTGCAGAACTTTTTCCATATATTTTTACAAATTTACATGATTAATATAGATATTTATGTATACTTTTTTAACCGATTTAATCTTTTCTTATTTTTTCTTATAAAATACGTTTTATATTTTTCAAATTTATATATGTTTGTTGCCATCTAAGTGTAGTGAAAGACCTGTGTCATTTTATTCTATTTTATGCTACATGTATATTAGTATGATATATTTTTAACAAATTAACTGTTTTTCCTGTATATGTCTCTATAATAAAATATGGAATCGTCTACCACCTTTATATAAATGATAAAATGCATAATTCTAATGTTGTATATTTGCTCACGTGTAACTGTAAAAAGACAGATAGGAAAAACAGTTAAAATTTTAAAAAGTAGATTATACCAACATCAAAACAGCATAAAAAAATATAATGACCCAGGCCTTTCACAGCACATAAATAATAACAAACATATTATAAATTATGAAAAATGTAAAATGTTTTTTAAAAGAAAAAAATGATACAAGATTAAATTGATTGGAAAAAGTGTACATAAATGTCTGTAATACATAAATAACTAATCAAAAAAGGTTTTTCTTAAAAAATAAAATTTCATGTTGCAGTACACCGTTCAATAACCTACAATATAAATAATAAACTTTTAAAATAAATAAGACAAAATTTAATTCTTATTAAAAAAATCTTATTATTGTTTTTTGGCCTTGTTTTTATTTAATTATCATGGGAAAAGGACAAAATTCGGTTACATTATAAAAAAAATATTTTCTATTCGTTTTGATACTCATTTGACCTATGCAATGTGTGCTTTTTAGATGGCCTGACTGAATTTCTCGTGAACAATGATGCTATAAAAAAATACATTTCAATATTTTTAGTCTAATTTCTAATTTTTACGGAATGCTTTCAAGCACCTTAATATAACATAATATCTACCATCAGTTGTATTTGAATAATAAATAAACAAAATAGAAGAATTCTTAGGCAAAAATATTCTACAATTGTAATTCATTCGTAATGTAAGTAAGTATAACTATTATTTGGTTAAGAAAATGTTCAATTTCATTTAGAGAAAGTATAATTTGCTTTTATAGAGGGTGTTGTTTTTAGATGGCCTGGCTGAATTTCTCTTGAACCAATGTCGTAATCAACAAACAAACCTGTTTAATATTTTTTAGTCTGGTTTCAAATTTTAACTTTTTTTGCAAAAAAATTAAACAGGGTACCTCAGGCCCAGGGGAATTTCAAAATTTCAAATAGAAACCACATGTGTACGTAGATGTATTAGTCGGGGTGTAATATACTGCGCCCTTTAAGAGCTATTGTATCCCCCGTTCTCTGCCTAAAGCGCACGGGTGAGTCCTACTTCATCAAAGGACTTGATTAGTAGGCCCGGTTTCAGTGGTTGAATCTCTTCTATGGCACATTGTACACCCCAAAGCGCTTCCTCTTGCGGGCAAGTGTAGCACCACAGTTTGTTAGTAGGTGTGTTGGTGTCTCCTCTGCTTGTTTGCAGAATGTGCCGTAATGGATTATTCCATCTTCTAACCTATATATCTTGACATATCGTTTTAAAGGATTTTTTACACTGAAAACAATGGTGCAATTGGATTTTAAATTGGTCAAAAATGGCGAAGTTAAGGCAAAAAGGTTGAAAAAAAACAGCCATTTGGTTTTTGCTCCTGTTCACCACTCTTCACCCGTGCTCATAGCGATAGATAGATAGATTGACAAACATTTTCTATCCTTTGCCGCAGTTCTTCAACTGAGGTTGCTCGGTTATGATTGGCGCAGACACTGTTTTTTAATGTCCCCACAGAAATTAGGCAAGTGGAGTTAAGTGGGTGACGGAGGAAGCCAGTACGTCGGGCCATGAGGTCGTATCCCGGAAGTGACGGTTGAATTGTGTGCGGGGCATACATCAAGCTTGAGAATCGTTATTTGTCATTGTTGCAGAGGAACAACATCTAATAGTGATGGTAAAACCTCCCTCAAAAAATTGAACTGAGCACCATTTAAATTATTTTCGTAGAAATAAGCCCACAACCAACTAAGCGATGATACTGTGAACTACCCGAGTACGATACTCTCGGATTGTCCTCTGCCCACGTTCGAAAATTCCAACGGTTTAGTATGCCATTAGAGGTAAACTTGGATTCATCTGTTCATGTATGGACGAACATTTTCTTCAGCCTCCCAACTCGACATTTGTTCAAGGAATGCCTGTCATAAACAGTCCCGAAGTCCTTGGGCAAGATGAGAGCGAGACTGCTTAAAAGTTCAGGGTGCATCTCTAATTTATTTTTTTTTAAACATCACTTCACTAAATACATATAGTATCATATCATACACTAAAATCCTTCCAACATTTCAAAAAGAGGAATTCGGATTTACACATACATATAGTAAAATACTCAGCTTCTCGTCGAAATTACGTAGCCGGTAGTTTTTTTTATATAACTAATTTTTTGACCAATTTAAAATCTGATTGCACCATTGTTTTCAGCGTAAAAAACTCTTTCTCTCTTTTAAATGATGTGACAGGATTTTTGTAGCTGAACTGGGCCCCCTGCATAACTTTTCCACGATAAAAGGTAAAAATTTGAAACTAGACTAAAACATATTAATTTTTCTGATAGCGTCATTGGTTCAAGAGAAATTCAGCCGGGCCATATAAAAATGACATTCTGTATAGTCTTCTTGAAAAATAAAATATAATATTATTATTTGAACGAAATTCTTACAACGCAATAACAATATTATCTTACCAATCTTATTAACGTCAGATATTAGGTTACGGATCAGTTAGATGGAAAATACACTAAGTATAGTGTTTTTCCATGTAACTGACACACACGACCTTTATATAAAGTTTTGATGTAAAAAAAATATATACTGGTATGAAGAACGGATTTTATTGTTTAAATTCAAATTTTTATAATTGTGTATAATTTTTTTAACAGTACTGTCAGTTCTAAGTATAACCGGAATCGCTTATTTCCCGACGACTTAGAAAGGGAGGAGATATTTTCTTTCCGAAATACAACATAATATTTAAAGGCCATCGGGGGACACGGCGGAAACGTTTGGATCTGAAACTTTCATCTTGGCTCATCCCTATAAACTAACTATTCTATCAATATTTGAGTAGACCGGGTTAAAAATCCTCTTCGAACCTTTTTATCTCTTTTAATCCACTGGTCTAAATATTTCAAAACTGTTTTACAGTGCAGGCTCGTAAAGCGATCTCATTTGCGCTAAAATCGAAATAATTGAGCTCGCGGAAGGGTTCCCCCCCCCCTTGAACTTCATTTGCTGGTTTTTCACTTTTTTTAACCATTTTTAAAACTAGTATGAGATATTTATTAAATTAGTACTGATGTGTTCGATCATCATGGTTTGCCTATCCATCCATTGACTGTCCCTGTTATTTTTAATGTTTTCGGTATTCTAAAACACTCTCTCGCTTTCTTTATCTCTCTGTCTGTCTGTCTCTGTCCCTCTCTCTCTCTCTCTCTCTCCCTCCTTCTCTCTCTCTCTCTCTCTCTCTCTCTCTCTCTCTCTCTCTATCTATCTATCTATCTATCTATCTATCTATCTATCTATCTATCTATCTATCTATCTATCTATCTATCTATCTATCTATCTATCTATCTATCTATCTATCTATCTATCTATCTATCTATCTATCTATCTATCTATCTATCTATCTATCTCTCATGAAATACCGTCAGCGATAGTACTATGATGAATGTAAGAGCATAAATATATTCTGATACAAAAAATTACAAAAAATTACGATCACATCAATAACGTTTAAAACTATACACTCTAAACAATCTAATTATCTATTTGTTTTGTTAAATATAATAAAGAAATTATAATATTTTACTTAAGACAAAAGAATATATTCAAAGTTTCTATTCATAGAACATAGAACCAAAAACATACGACAACTCTTTCTTAATTACTAGCATAAAGCTACCAACATGATGTTCCGAATAGTATTCCTCTGAGAGTATTTTTCGTACTTTCAAAAGAAAATATTGTGATGGAAAATAAACAGCAGAAAATCATCGATGAAAACATAAGTTGTAAACTATATAACAAATTGTTTTGTTGCATTCTCTAAAACGTAAACTAAAAACTAACTAATAAATTAAGTTAAAGTCAATTAAAACTCTCAAAAATCTTATAATGTTCCGAACAGTATTTCCTCTGAGAGGAGTTTTCGTACTTTCAAAAGAAAATATTTTGATGAAAAAAAAACAACAGAAAATCATATAAACATAAATTGTAAACTATAATGGAAATTATGTTTTTTTGGTGCATTCTCAAAATCTCAAATAAAAAATTAACTAATCAGTTAAATTAAAGTCAAGTCTAACTCTCAGAAAT